AATAAGCAGCAGCCCCTGAGCTAGTCATTTTTTAACCCAGGTGAAGTGATTACAAACATAATATCTTGTTTTCCTTTTTCTCTTGGTGAGATAAGGATTCTTTACACAAGTGATATGCTGGACAATTTGCAAAGAACTTTTGTGTGTGTGTGAGACAGTGTCTCACTATGTAGCCTGGGCTGGCCTTGAACTCACAGCAATCCTCCTGCCTCAGCCTCTCTAGTGCTGTGATTACAGGCGTGCACCACCACACCCAGCTGCAAAGACTTTTATATTTGAGGTTTTCACATGCTCTCTATACTAGGTCCTAGGCAGAGATTTTGACCTTCATTTTACAGAAGTGGAAACTAGATACAGAGAGATTATACAAGTTCCTCAAAGTCACAGCTTGATTGCATTGCTATCAAGGCAGAGGTCAAAATCCAAAAGTTGGCCTGGGATGTAACCCAGTGGTAGAGTGTCTGCCAATATGTATGAGGCCCTGAATTCAATTCTGGTAATAAAAAAAAAAGGAAATATACTATTTTTCAGAACATATAAAAAAGAGAAGAATATAGTGAAATACAATAGACACGGAAGCAAAAAAGAAAAAAAAAACTTCAAATTTTATTTGTCTATTTATTTGTAGTGCTGGGAATTGAACCCAGGGCTTTGTGCATGCCAGGCAGGTGCTCTTCCACTGAGCAAAAGCCCTAATACTCCTTTTTTTTTATGTGGAAAAGTTCAATTATAAGGAGTATGGGAAAATATATTTGGAAGTTTTTGGTTTTGTTTTTGGTGCTGAGGATCAAACCCATGGCTTTGTCCATGCTAAGAAATTGCTTGCCACTAACCTCCACTCCCAGTCCTGTATGGCTTAAAGAATATCCTTGTGACCCCACCAGCCCAAGGACAGATTTATGGCAGCCCAGGGGCTCCCTATGTACCTCTTCCCAGAAATAACCACTATGATAAATTCTGTGTTCAGGCTCTTGCCTTTTAAGTGTTTTCTTTATCACTAGTATATTTAACAATGTATTATTGTTTTGCTTGGTGTTTAACTTGATATAAATCACACCTCAGTTTATGCAGTTTTCTACAACTTGTTTTTACTCCCAACATTTTATTTTGGAGATTATGTAATTAAATTTCACCCATAATATTTCATGTGACTATACCACAATCTAGCATTCCTGTGTTAGCAGACATGTGGGTCTTTTTCAGTATTTTGCTTTTACAGGCCTTTTGGGGGAGGACAGATGGAATTTAAGAGAGTGGGAGAGCTTGGGATGTAGTTCCCTGGTACAGCCCAGGATGCCAAAGGATCAGCCCACATTAAACAAAAAAGCCAAAAAACTAAAAATAGTTCTAGGAGGCTGAGGCAGCAGGACCTCAAGTTTAGCCCAGCATGTAACTCAATGAATTGTCAAGATGCTCCCAAAGTCTCAAAGAAAGAAAAAAAGGAGGTGGGTAGATTCAGCTCAGTGGTGCTGCGCCTGCCTCACAAGTCCTGAGTTTGATCCCTAGTACCGCAAAAAAACTGGGGGAGTAGGGAGGTGAGATGTTGCTCAATCCCCGGTATTGCACAACAACATAAAGAACAATTTCCCAAGATAAGTTTTGCAAACTTGAAATCCAGTCCTGTATCTGCATTAATAACAGTACTGTCTAATAGGTTCTCTCATTTATTTCTAGTTTACTATCAGCCACAAACTATGTTAAGTACTGTACACACATCTTTTCCATTTAATTCTCATAATTTTCTATGTGGTATTATAATTATACTTAGGTGAAGAACTATTTTATAAGTAATGAAACTGAGGTTCGGAGAAGTTGGACAGATTGCCCAACATTATTTGGATAGTCAAGATTGCAACTCAGTTTTACTGCAACACTCAAGTTCCTTCCAATTTATTCTATGCCTCAATAGCCCATTATGCAGTAATAAAAACCAAATATAAGAGCTGGGCATGGTGGCACACACCTGTAATCCCAGCACTCAGGAGATCCTCCTGCCTCAGCCTCCTGAGTGCTGGGATTACAGGCGTGTGCCACCACGCCAGGCTATTTTATTTATTTATATTTAATTTAAAATTTTTTTTCATACCAGGGATCAAACTCAGGACCTTGTGCTTGTGAGGCAGGCATAACATATTTTAATGTGATAAAATACACATAACATAAAATTTACATCTGTGGTGGATTAACTAATGGTGAATTTGGAATGTCCCGCTGAACTGAATCAGCATGGTTGTAGGCATGGAAGACCTACCTGAGGATTGTTGCTAATGGCATAAAAAGAGAACTGAAGGGACAGGGGATGTAGCTCAGTGGTGCCACCGCCTACCTTGAAAGCGCAAGGGCCGAGTTCGATCCCCAATACCAAAACAACAACAAAAAAAGAGAAGTGGAGGGGAAGATCATTTTCTTGGAGTAGCTTGCCATGGGGCTGGATTTCCTGATGCGAACTCAGCTGTTGCCATTGTCAAAGGATCTGGGGTCCTCGCTGTCTCAGGGACGGCTGCTCTTCTCCTCAGGGAGCTCTGATCTTCACCGTGAGCGTCACTTCCTGGCTTCAGAGCAGATCCCTCAGCCTGGTGGCACAGATCCTTCACCCTGCAGGCACAGACTTCCTAGCTTCCACCACTGGCCCCTGGGCCTTCCCGGGGCAGATCCTTGATACGGACTTGCAGGAGACACTGCCGTGGGTTCCGGGCCTCTGGCCTGGACTCCTGGAGGACACTGCCTCGGACTCTAGGCCTGCAGCTGGACTTCTGTGGACACTGCTGTGGGAACCACGATCTCAGCTGGATTCCTTGGGTCTGTGGGGTGTGGAAAGATCTCTCATTTGACTTTTTGGGTGAATATTATAAAATAATCCTGTTGGGCTGGGGATTTAGCTCAGCGGTTCGGTAGCCTGCCTTGCAAGCACAAGGACCCAATCCCCGGTACCCCCCCCAAAAAAAAATCCTGTAAATTGTGTCCTGCATTAAATCTATTCCCTTGCAAACCCTGACTACAACACCATGCTGACCATTCTTTGGTTTGTGTGCATGTGTGTGTGTGTGTGTATGTGTTTGTGAGTGTGTGTATGTGTGGTCTGGGGTACAAACTCAGGACCTTGCACTTGCCAGGCAGGCACAGTGCCACTGAGCTACATCCCCCACCCTACCATAGCCATTCGTAAGGGCACAGTTCAGGAAGTTAAGGGCATTCACACTGTTGTGTAACCAGTCTCCAGAACCCCTGCAATCACTGTTGCATGAGGATCCTGGGCACCGATGGTAGAACTTCCCTATGTACACTACATGTAGAATTGCAGGGCCGGGGATTTAGCTCAGCGGTTCAATGGCCTGCCTTGTAAGTGCAAGGACCTGAGTTCAATCCCTGGTACCAAAAAAAAAAAAAAAGAATTGCAGAGGTGTGGCATTCACACATGGTCAAGTTTATTTGTTAAGGCCAAACTTTTCCAAAATAGTGCTTGCTTCAGCAGCATGTATACAGACACATTTCCAAAATAGTTACCCTGATTTATGCTGATAAGCAGTTGTTTTTAAAAGTATGTAATGCAGTCAAATGTTTAAATTCCAAATGTTCCAAACATACCGTCCTGATGCTTGCTTATTTCTCTTGTAAATATCACAGGCAGTATAACCTGGTGGTCTTTGGAGCAGACTCCCTGGACACATTCCCAGCTCCACTGTAAGCTGGTTGAGAACGGGAAGCGGTCATTTAATTTTTCTATACCTCATTCCTTATCTGCAAAATGAGGGAAAGAATCAGAACTCAAGACTATTAATTAAATTAAGTATTAAGATTGTGCCTATTACAACTGGAACTACCTATATAATTACATATTTTCTCATTCTGTTTTACAGTTACATGACAGTCTACTATATAAAAGTATCATAATTATCATAGTTGATAAGTATTTAGACTATTTCCAGTCTGCTGAGATTACAAACAGAACGATAAGGAATCCTCTCTGGAAATTTGAATCCTAAATTTCATTAAAACCCGTCTTGGGGCCGGGGATTTAGCTCAGCGGTTTGGTGGCCTGCCTTCCAAGCGCAAGGACCCAAGTTCAATCCCCGGTACCAAACAAAACCAAAAAACCCCCCAAAAAACCAAAAACCAAACCTGTGTTAACGTGTCATCATTGAAAATTGCTCGCTTAATGGTAATCAATTCTCGGGTTTGGTTTTTTTTTTCCCCCTGATCTTTCCCTTGGGTTGTTTTCCTACCTCGGAATTCTATTCTGCGCTGTTAAGTGACCCCTAGAAGTATTCTGGCCTTCACAAGTTTTGCTGAGTAACCAACCCATCCTTCTTAGCTGTAAGCTGCTCTCCTCTGGTAAAGTGACTCAAGATGGGCAGAGTTCCGCCAGCCCCTACCAAAAGATCATTTTAGGTCACAAGGTGAGCAAAACGCAGCAAGTAACGTCCTGAAACCTGGCCAGGTCGGGTTTGCAGACCGCAGATCTGGAACACGTGCTTTGGAGGAAAGGAAGCCGCCTCTCCGCGGCGGCGGCCTCATTGGGCGGCGGGGCCGTCAATCACCCGGGGAGGACTCAAGGGGGCGGGCCGCTTCTCCGCGGCTGGCCTTCCGTCATCCCCGGCGTGTCGTGCAGGAGCCCTTCGGGAACTATCTGGCTGTTTCCTCAAGTTGACGACTAGAAAATCAGAGGGCCCCTGCTCTCC